GGCTTTCATTTCCTCTGCAAACTTCTGGAGCATTTACATTAACTTTTGGCAGGTAAATGGTAGGGGGCCCAAATCATCCATCACGAAAAACTGCATTGAAAACACATCAAGTTAGGAGTCATGACAGGTAGATAGGTCTCTGCTCTGAGAGAATGAAGGCTTAGATATCACAGCTCCCTTCTCCTCACAGGAGGACATGGTATGTAAGCCCAGGCGCCTCACTCTAATCACTGCCAAGGACCACCACTTGCTGGCTCCTCAGTGTCCACAGCTCCACATGGTGGCAAGACTGTCAGCTCCATGTTGCCCTCAGTTTTCTTTAAGCTTCTAGGACAGGATCTGCTCGACAAGGAATGGGTCTGGCCTTGCAGAACTGAAATCTGCTGCAAATTGGGTCTTCATGAAGCATACAGCCCTAAGTTCAGCATGGGAATGGGTCCACTCCTTTTTGTTACCACTAAATCTCTGGGAAAAACTGTGAAATAGAAGAATCCCATCTCTATTCATTGTCTTGCTTCTCCCCCTTTTCTTCTGCAGCAGAAACTAAAGAGGAGGTGAAAGATGGTTTAAGTGAGGTTACCACAGGGATAAAACAATACTGCAAGGAGTTTTAGAGCTGTTTTCATGCTGTTCTCCTGTAGCCACTGAGCAGGTTTTCAGAAATTGTTTCCCTGCCCTTTTCACCTTCACGCTCCTCAATTCCCGACAGACTGAGGCCGGAGCAGAAGAGGAAAGTGGATTAACAATGTTTTGTCTTCAGCAATCTGGCATCTCGTCCTTGCTTCCACACTTCTAATATTCATCAGTACCAGTGGAAAAAAAAAAAAAGCAAGTAATCTGAAATTCAGGGCTTGCTAAGGTAAAACAAAGAATAACTCTGTCAATTATGCTGATTCTGAGGATAAATGTTTGCTTTTTTTTCTTTTAAGCCTGCCTATGGATTCTAATACTGACTCGGGATTTAAAATAGCTCATCTATTTTTAAGTGATGTTGGCAACCTAATTTTGACTCAATAGTTCCATGATGCAGAAGGAGAAAAAGAGAAAAAAGAATAATTGCAAACCACAAAATAAGCAGAAATGGTTTCAGTGAGGTGTTTTGATCACCCCCGTGAGCTGTTTTCTTGCTGTGTTGTGCGTGACTGAAAATCAGAAAGTGAATCTGCCTATTAACAAATGGGAAGCTGACCAAACCAGTTTCATCAGACTGCAGTAAAGAGAGAACAAGGGGAAAATAAACTTAGGTGATTAGAATTATTTCCATGCTGACAAAGAGACTTTGTGAATGGTATAGCAAAGGCTTCCTGATAAAGAAAATAAGAATTCAAATGCTTTGAATGGGGGGAAAGTTAAAGAGATTCCCACGGGTGGTGTCACAGCCTGCCAGTAAACCAACAGCCTTTGGATCTGCTCCCAGGGCAGTCCCTGGGAAGGGACTCCATCCCTCCCCTGCACCATAATCTGGTCTCTCTATGTGCTGCTGCTTGCTTTTTGGAGTAAATTGCAAACCTGCACAAGGGGTTGAATAAACAAATTACTGCCTGTGCATGTGTGTTCATTAGAAAAAAAAAAAACAAAACCATGCTGATTGCTTGGCAGCCTGATATTTCATAATATCACAAAGGGTTTTGAGAGATGAACAGATACAGCAAACCCTTCATGGAAACCAATATCACCACCTGTGGGAAATGCAAAGATAACAGGCAATTGTGACTAAAAATGCAATTGCTACAAGAGAGAAAGATTCACTTTCCTCCATGTGCAGAGAAATCCATGAAAAGATGTTTTCATCCTAAGCCAAGAAGGCCTGAAGCTGAGCTTTATTCTGCGCTTAGAACCAGTAATAATCTCTTTCACCTATTAAGCATCACCCCCAGAAAAATGTATTCTTTTCCATCTCACTCAGAAGGGTCTCCACTTCTAGACAATTATTTCGTCAGGTGCAAAGAAATAAGATAGAGGAAGTAAATATTTGACTTTGTGTATTGAAAATTCCTGTTCTCTTTCTTTTTTTCTGTCTTTCAAGGTCAGGTTTCTATAGTGAAATAAGTGTAGACAATACAGAGCTTTCCAAGTTTTAAAGGAAACCGCCCTACATTTTAACCACAAGCATAACTTAAGAGAAGCGAAAGAGTACAAAAAACAAGGTAAGCACGTCCTGCACATTGTGGGATGGTTGGATCTGGTAAAACTCTACATAAACCTCAGCCTTCTCTGACACTGCTTTGCTGTGGTGTCCCTTGACCTGGAAGCTGATTGCTCTTACTTTAGGTAGAGAAGCTCAACCTTCTTCAAGAGAGTAAATGTTCCGATTTTCCCAACCAGAGACCAAAATATTGCCATGCAGGACCCACACATGCAGGGTATTGTGGCTTTGCACAGTGAGGGGCTGCGCCTCAAGAACAGACCATGGAAGATAGATGGGCTCGTGATCCACACGCAGCTGAAGAGCCACAGTGTGGCTGCTGCCACTTTAGCCAGCTATTTACTCCTACATATTAGCCATTGGACTTCATCCTTTCACTAGTAGCACCAAACCCAAGGGCTGAATTTGTACTCATCTGCAGCAAATCAAAATCAGCCTCTTCTTCACTCAACCTTTATTTGCACCAGTATTTAGAATTACAAAGGTGTTCTTCGGAAATAACCCCAGACTACAGAGAGGATTCCAAGAAGCAGGGAAAGAGCAGTCAAACTTCAGGATTCTTTACTAATTTTAGGTTTGTGACCATGCAAAACATGAATATAAATCCCAAAGCTCTGCAGTCAGATCTCTGTTGATAGATTCTCTGCACCATTTCCCATAGCTTAGAGGGAAATTGCAGAGGAACTAGGAGCCATCTTCATGGCCTAGCATGAAGAGGGCTCTCTTGCATTATCTTTTTGCTGCAATTCCTCCAAATTCAACATGCTGACCTCCAAATACAACGTGCCAGCCTTCTGTCTGCAAGTCAATGTACAATGTTGACTTCCCATATTGTTCTGTGAGTAGGGTCAGCTAAGGAACATCTCCTTTAGGTTCTGTGGCTAGAGGTTCATGGTTTGGCAGAAGGGAGAAGGGCTCAGTGCAGCACATGCGTCCTTGTCACTCACTGTGCTGCTGCATTTTTGGAAAGCCTTTTTGTTAAGAAGAAAATGGCTAAAAAATTTGAAACTGTTACCTGAATCCATCACTGACTCCAATACAGAGAATGAAACTATTGAAAAGTAGGTTCTTTCTTTCACCAGAGGACCACCAGAGGTGAGAAGCATTGCCACTGTGTGAATTGCCTGGGAGCAGGATCAGCACCCCAAGGTTTCCTCAGGATGCTTTCAGGGTCAGCAATGACCACACTAGAGAGGGCAGCAAGATCAGGGCATGGCAGGTAAATCAAAAGAAGAACCAATTTTCCAATCTATTTTAAAGGTATTATATTAGCTTGGGTAGCTGGTATGGCTCAGCAAAACCCAGGGACTACACCTTTGGTAGGCTGTGAATAACAGATTATCATCATTTTACAACAGCTACAAATCATGGCAGTGCCATTACATCTAGTGGGAAAACACAGCTGCTTTCTGAGCAAATAACGGTCTGTTGATAGGCAGCTCTCTGACTTAGGAGAGGTCTGACAGTGTATAAAGCCTTTCAGCAAGGAAACTGCTGTAAATCTTGCTCAGGCAGGCTGAAGTATCTGAAGAAATACTTCTACCTCACTGATCACCGAGCCTTAGACTTGTGATAAGACAGAAATCATTCTCATCTGATCCACTAGCCTGTGAGATATGAATCAAAGAGTCTATGCCCTGTCCAGAGCTGGCAAGATGTATCAACATAACAAAAACCTTCATCAGTGTGACACCTCTGTTGGCAGTCTCAGGAGAGGAAAAGAAAGGGTGATGAAGTCCAGGCTGCTCTCTGGTTCCCCCAGGGCAAAGCTGAACCTTGCTGGCAAGGTGAGGAAACCCCTGCTAGCGGTACCCTGCTCAACCTACCTGATTTTAGTAGCATCAATCCCATCAGATAACTGCTATGCACAGAACCAGGCTCACTGCTTCTGCCTTTGGCATCAGCAGCCACAGATGGTGGAGTTATAAAGTTTGAGTGAAGAATACCCAGTTTTATGCTCTCAATAAAAAATACAAACCACCCTTCCCAGTGTAAGATCTTTAAGCATAGAGCAGCTTTCAGTTCAACTTTCACACCTGAAACAGTGCATGCAACTATACAAAGCAAACACAGCCCTTTCTGTTGTGTTTTGAAATAAGCTGTCATCCACACTTAAACATATTGCACTGTACTACATTTCCCCAGGGGCCCTGGTGTTGTTGCTATCCTGACAGACACAGCCATCCAAGTGGCACTTATTCTGACCTTATACACACTGACACAGAAATGCCTTTAAGACAATGTTTTATCTCTGAGGTGCTGAACATTCACACACGCACACATACACACAGAATTATGTCAGCCATTTAAGTAATCCCTGCTCAGCTGTCTTTTAAAATGCCTCTTTCGTCTTTCTGTAACCAAGGGCTTTAATATTCAAACGTTCATGAGCACCAGCTTTATTAAAATTAGGGCTTGGGGAAATAGCTTTGAAAAGGAGAAACGAATATTACCCAAGCATTTAAAAGATGCTAATTAATGGAGTTCTAAAGCCCAGGGAGGCCATTTGATGGAGCAGAGATTCTTCTACTAGGCAGATTTGTAACTTAGTGGTTCAAGTGGCAGAGGTGGAAATAAAAGACGAGTAAAATAAAATGCAAGTAGGTTAAAAAGAACAATCCTCCAGGTATCAGGAGGACTCCAGAGTTTAGTTCTGTGCCAGCGATTCGAGTCGTCTGCCTACAAGCTCTATGCATGAAGACTTTTTTCAGGTCCTGACACAAAAAGTTCTTGTCTCTTCCCTGATAGATCTGCCTTGTGCTGGGAATAAGAAAGTGTAACCCACACAGAGAGCAGTGGATGCCAACTGAGATGGTGCTGCAGGAGTCACCAGGGAACTTGTTTTCAGATAAATCTAATCTCAGGGGTACCTGGGCATATTCATACACAAGTGTACAAGGAAAGAGCTTTGCACTGGGAGTAGCAGAGACACACAAGATTGGTCAGAGCTTTTCTTGTTGGCTTCTTTATGGTTATTTCACCTGAGTGTGTAAAATCAGGGGAACCTCAGAAGCTCCCCTAGATCCTGCCTAGCACCTCTGCTCTCAGCAGAATAACTTAATTCATACCTGGACCACAAAGCACAGGTACTAATGTCCTACTTTTTTCTCTCTCCTGCTCCCCCCTTCTTTCCTGTTCTTCTCCGTGTGCACAGATATAACCCTGGGTCAAGAACTGAAAATACTCCATGGACTAGAAGAATAGATTCTTTTGGTGGCCCTATGTACACACATATCCACTCCAGCTCTGTAGCAGAAAAGTTACCTTTGAAGTCTGACAGTGATTTGTAGCTGAAATTTCAGTCAGAGGCTCTTTTTTACTGATGCAGTTCTTGCTAGGTCAGTTCCTATGAAAAAGCCAGGGTGGAGTGATGATTTGAAAGCCATTGATCCAAAAAGAAAACTGTGAAAGGAAAAGGGGGCAAGAGGAACAGGTGCTGGGAAAACCCTCCTTTCCAGCCTACCCTAGCACTCAGTGTGTCCTGGGAGGAAGGAGCACTGCGTTCTAGAAGCAAAACTGCCCTCTGCAACTGTTGCTGGGTGATTAATTCCACAGTCAGGGCTTGCTGACCCTTTCCTGCTGTATTTAATCCATCACTAGGACCTCAGACCTCCAAGATATGCCAATTCAGCAAGAGGATGAGGGACGTTACCTGTATTCTGTTTCATCCAGGTGGGAGCTCTGTCCTTGTTGCCCTTGCCTGCTTCTTTTCTCCCCTGAACCCAGTTGCTGAGCCAGGCAGATCACATTGCATGTGGCTGTCCCCACCTCTTGGTAGTTGTGTCACAATAGTGCCAGGAGGTGCTGTGGAGAGCAGTGCCTTTGTATGCCATTCACCAGTTTTAGCTGAAAAAGGATAATTTATCATCCAGAGATAATCCCATCCTGGGGAAAGTAATAGGAAGGAACAGGACAAATGAGGGAATCAATAAGGAGGCAGCCACAGCCTCAACCAACTAAACGTTTGCATGTGTTTGCCTTGTGCTTTCATTTGCTATTCTACAAATAGTAGAGAGATCAAATATCAGCCCTTGCCCTCCTCCTTCAAGTGCCAAATAGATGCCACTTTAAGTGGTAATCCCCAACCCACCCGGTGTCCAGGCTGAAGCTAGACAACTTCACCCTTTGCTGGCCCCAGATCCCAGCAAGAACAAGAAAAGGAAGCTTTTAAAGGGTCCTGGGAAGCAGAAGCCTTGTTACAGCTTCTGGAGGACTGGTTGGGATCAAACACTCGGAAACTTTCCCATTAATGTTAAACGTATTAATTCCATCCCTGGCAACTGCGGGGCATCATGAGAAAAGCGGGAGAAACAGAAGGTAACCAAAAACGGGGGCAGAGAGATAAGCAGCTTTCCGGATATGAAAGAAAGAAAGGCATTCCTTGTCACTTCCTGTACTCAACCAGTGCTCAGGTTCTCTTCTCGCCATCTAAAACGAGCACTAATCCCATCCTCCTGCCCTGTCTACAAGAAGACTCCAGATACTGTTATCCAACCTGCCTTTCTGAAGGAAATTAAGGCAACAACAACCACAATGGAGCAATCTATAGCAATGTACAAATGGAGCTCATCGGCTCAGCCCTCTCAGCTGACACTTTCACTGCCCTAATGAACTAGTTCATGATTGATTTTGCATTTTCAAGCTGTCATTGTCTCTTTTTAACTCCCAAACCAAATATTCCTAGTTCAAAGTAAATTCCCTATATTTTCCTGGTTATTCTTTGAAAGTCTCCAGAGTGCCATTTGCTGGAGAAGGCACCCGAATAAGTACAGGGCAAAGGCCATTTAAGTCTGTAAAAATCCCTTAATGTTTCTGAGGTGGCTGAAATCCAGTCACTTCAGTTGTGCAGCTGAGGCCTCTTTCTGTAATGGGACCCTGTTTCGATCGACCCGCATCTGAATTAAGGTTTAGATATTTGACCTTAGCTTGAAGATTTGAGTCTGTCCTGTGGAACATTATCTCCTTGTGTTGGTGGTATTGGGACTGCAGACTTCACATTAGCTCAGTGCAATCTGTTTGCATGACATTAATTTACACAGGGGGTGATGTACCACTGCTGCCTTTCCCTGGTGAGCCTTGGCTGAAGAATCCCCTTTGGCTGATGCAGTAAAAGCTTAAGATATTTGAAGCAAGAAGATCTGATGGTTTGGATAAAACATGAGGTCATAGAGGCTTAATATGTTATTGCACATCAGCAGGGTGAAGGCACCTGTCCATACATATGCTCTTTGCCTAGAGCTAATGCAAAATAATATGATGTAGCTTCACTTTGTTTCACTGTCAGCTAAGTTAAATTGCATTATTATATCTTCATCACAAGCCAAGAACGTGTGCCCAGATTGCTACCTCAGCTCTTCTGATGTTTGGTACCTTGCTAAGTTGCTCTCTCTTGATCATATGTCAGAGCCTGGAGACCTTCACAGCTGTCATGAAGTCCTTGGGAGTCCTGGTTTTGTTACCCTGGGATGTGTTCATAAGTACAAGGATTTGTGGCTTGCACATAGCACGGGGAGGGTTTACCCCGAATTTTTTACATGCGTGTGACAGGTTGGATGCTTCTTATTGATCAGGAAAACCAGTGTACACCTCCCGGGAGAGCAGCACTTCCTGATTCAAGTCCTTTCACAAGAATTAAAAATAAAAAAAATCAGAACTGAAAAGGGATTTTAAAGAAGAAAAATGCTCTGTCAAATCCCTGATATCTGCAAAGCCATAAATAAGAGAGATATTTTCTAAGTTCATAGAACTTCATCGTTTTCAGAAAACTATTGGGAGGAATGGCATGAAAAAAATGCTGTCTGTTTCTCTAGTAGAATACAGATTGACCCTCCTAAATGAAGACAGTTGGCAAGAATGACCTGATCTGAGACAGAAAAACAGAAAAAAATCAGACTTTAAATAAATTTATCTTTTAAACTTCTATCTCAGCTCCAGCAGCCTGCCATAAAGAAAATGAAATGTAAACTGGAGACATGGGTTTGTTCTAATAAATGCAGGGTGAAAGAAAAAGCTAACAAGTATATTTGTTTCCCTACTAATCCCTCTTCATTATAGGACATAGCTGTTTGGCTTAATGGTCACAAATGACTCCAGTATGAACTCAAACAAAGGGAGGTTTCTTTTCTGTTTGGAGATTAAATCATTTGTAAAAATATTTCAAGTGCAGTCGGCATCAACAAAGTCAAATAAAACCTCTGTCTCACACAAGAAAATGTACCACAGCGAGTATCTTTCTATGACAACTGGTAAGAGGTAATTTTTCCCTGGAGCCAACTTCCATTGGATCAGTAATGCTCCACTCTATAGCAGAGAGAGTTTGCAGAGACAGGATCTGTGTACCAGCACACATAATAATGAATCACACCCTACATTGATTTAGTAAACCAATAGGTTTTATTAACTCAACAATGAGATTAAAATGGATTAAAACAGGAGAGGGGCTCCAGCAGTACCACAGTACTGAGCAGCAGCACAGAGCTGTAAAATCTACCTGAGAATAAAGCAAATTGGATCAAGCAGAGCTGCTTTGCTACTGGAACCCAAGCAGGCAGTTTTAAAGACATGAATACTTCTCCACTCCATTATCTCCAGCCAAGATTTGTGCCTGTCCTATTAGTTTCAGCACATTCAGGATACCTCACCACCCTCCTGCAGGAGCTTCTTTGGGAGTCCTTTGGTGCAAACCAGTGTTCATCAACCCACCGATCCAAGGAGGCCTGAGGGTCTGTGGGCTCTTTCTAAGTGATCTGCAGTGAACAGCTGTAAATACTGCAAAGCTGTAAAGCTGCTGGTGGTAGGCTTAGAATCTGCACATGGAAAACAAGCAGGTTTTAGAGGCCAGCAAATTTAAAGAGGTTGAAAAACACTGCATATAACTTGTCCTAGCATCTCGGGAGTATGTAGGAGAGCCTCCCATTTTGTCTCACCAAACCACCTGCCCAGATGCTCCTTGGACTCAAAGTGAATCTTAATGGAAATTCATATTACTGCCTGGGTGGCTCTGAGCCCAGCCCTGTAAAGGCCAGTTTTGTAAGAGCTGACTTGTGGGGTATGGAAGCATAGAAGACAGGGCTGGAGAAGACCCCAAGGAAGTATCTAGTCCTCCCCCTGAGCCAGTAAAACTTAATGAATATTTAATTGCTTTAGTATGTTTGGGGGTTTTTATAAATTGTGTGCAATCATTGAGTTATGCCATGCATACAATAAAATTAAGCAAATATTCAATGTCTCTTCACAGACGAAGCTAAAATAAATCTAATTCTCCCTTCCTGAGTTAATCCACCATGAACAAGTCGATCAATAACCACCCTTGTAAGCCATCATCCACCCACCTCACTCCTTCCCACCTCCTCCTGTTATCTGGGAGAGGTTTGATTTAAAGTGCCAATAACTATCCTCACAATCACTGTAATTATGACATTCAGTGTTATTGCTATTTGTTATTAGATCAGTAAAGGAAATCCTTTTCTCTGTCTGTGGGAATTTGCAAGATTCTGAAGTGGTTTTCCCCTGTTCTGGATTCATCAGTGTTTGTGAACCAATAATCTGAAAAAAAGTACAGATCAGATCAATGCACAATTCATTTAGATACTTGAAAAGTCTTTCATTTAGTTGGTTGCGAGCTTTCTGAAATAAAAACATAATTAACTTAGCTGTTGAAAATGAGGAAATAGGATGGGTTTGCCACTTAAAAAAATTATCTTTTCTTCAAATGAAGAAATTAATTTCATCTGAGCTCCTCTACGAAAGGTTTGCATTGACTTGCTGGCATTCACCCTTAGAAAAAGAAAACATTTAATCTGATAATTGCCAGTTTACCATTTACTATTGTAAGTTTATAGAAGATATACAAAGTTGCATAAGAAGTTATTGCTGATGTTCACAAAAAGGAAAATAAGAATGGCCTGAAGGAGTTAGGCACAATGAGGGATTTAGAATCTGAAACTTTTTAGATATTGTTGATACCATCTCAGCCTTTGGGTCACACAGAAAAGACTTCTAAATCTGTAGCTCTAAGAGAGCTTTCCAGGGCTCTCAGGATTTTATTCTAAGATATATACATGCTTATTTTTATACAGTTATAAAAATCCTTATGCATCATTTTAACTCTGAAGGTGTTTATTTAGAATGAATCTGATCATACTACTTTTAACCCAGTTTTGTCAGTTTTAGTCAAGTGCTGTTTGTCTTGGATATTTCAAATCCAGCCTCTCAAGCACGGGCAGCTGATACAGACTTGACTTATCATAGAGTTCAATCTGTGAACTTGGCAATTACATGAGCAAGTGACTCATGCCTCAGTTCATGTTTGCCTTTTAGCTCAGACACATTTGTCTTGAGAAAAGCTGTGGAAATAATTGCTTTTGGGGGGTTGGTGGCAGTTCTGACTGTATAAGAATACTATAAACCACATTCAAAACTTGATGTCAGCTTCCTTTACAATCCTGCTTTAAAAAGGTTATAGCTTATGAGGTTTTCTTCTCGCTTTTGACATCTTGAACTTCTCTGACCCTTTGTCTTTCTCTCTTCACTCTAAAACCTTGAGGCATGTACATCTTTAAGCCATTAACTGTCATTTCTCCACCAATGCCTGACTATATTAACTTTGCCTGGTCCAGCTCTAGCCAGATGATTTTGTCTGTATAAAGCAGTTATAAGGAGCCTCAGCCACAGCAGCAGCTCTGGAAGAAGAGCCTGCAGACCACTGTTTTAACCACACATAGAGGCATTTAGTGATGGCTGCACCAGCAGCTCCAAGAGCCAACAGGAAGTCCATCATCTTGAAGAGTATGAGCCCTGGAGATTTAAGGATGTGTGTGGCAAACTGCCTCAGTTCCTGCCTCTGTAAAAAGGAGGTGATCCACTAAAGTCCATCAGAGAAAGAGGGTGGCAATTAGCTAATATGTACTACTGGAAGCACTGGAGAAAGTCACTGTGGCATTGCTGGCTCCAGCATAGTGGGGCTGAAAAAAGCATAATGCAAGGAAAAGCTGTGAAAAGCTGTGTAACTCAAAGGGAGATAAAAAGAAGTTCATAAAGTATTGTTCCCAAAGAAATTAAGTAAGCTGAGAAGAGGAAAATGATATGAAACCCCAGGTTGAGCATTTCCTTACCCTGATACCCTGCTGCCATGTTAACATGGGTGTTCAACATTGCATTATGTGTTAGCATTTGCCTCAGGTGAAGAACAGTATTTCCAATGTACCATTTATTTCTCCTTAAGCTATCTGAATTGTCCTCTGTTGGATAAAAAAGGCCAATTATATTAAGAGGTCTTTAACACTGCTCCAAGCGATTGGAGGAAAGGGGAATATTTCTGAACATACCTGCAAAGTTTGTGGGAACAGCCTGGGGAAAATTATTCCAACAAATGTCTAGTTCATAGCTAGGTTCTCCAGATGGCATCAATATATCATAAAGAGCCAAAGAGAGCCTTCCGGAATGCAAATTACTATTCACATTTTACCTAATTTATGCAAATTAGCTCATTCAGTCTTCCACCTAATCCTCTCTGGAGTTACTCCAAGTTTTGAAAGGAAAGATATTCTTCTTTCAAAATATATATGATCCATATTAATTGCTTCTGATGGAGATGAGTGGGATGGACAGCTATTCCAGTAGTTAATACTTTAATCACTTCACCTCAGCTGCAGCCCTGCTTTAGGTGAACAGACCCCGACTATCTGTCCCCATTGCTAATGTAAGCTGTAAATGGCTGCATATTTGGATGCTCCCAATGGGCACTGCCAGGAAGGCATATTTTAGGAAGGAACCCATCCGCATTGAGCAGGGTTGAGGAGAATGCTGGTGTGTAGGTAGATTCAATATGCAGTAACCCAAATCGTGGCTACCCAAGCTGGGAAGAGGGCTGCAGGAGCAGGATGCGGCTTAGTGATGGAGATGCATGGATTGCCCCAGGGATGTTGGGCTTTGCACAGGAATGTGGTGGCAGAGCTGTGGGAGGGGTCAGACTGAGCTAAAATGAGGTGTGCTGAATGCACCTTCTCACCCCTTTAGGAAGGTGGAGAGGCAGCAGCAGTGGAGGAGAAAGGAAGGAGTCAGCACAGCATCTCTACTGGACTCAACCAGAGGCACTGGAATACACTGGAACCCTTCTGATGAATGGACTTCAACATATCCTGAACCCAGCCAGCATGAGCAAGAGGCACTGGTGTGCTCCAACACCCTTCCCCACTCCCTCCTGAATCAGAAGAGCATTTGTAAAACAATGAATGGAAGAAGCAGAAGACAGTTGAGTCAGGAAGTCTCTCAAAATTATCTGCTTATTAAGAAGTGATTAAAATATGTTTGGGCATATTGACTTCAGTCTGTCCTTGTTTTAATATTTATGTGTTATCTTGAATAACTGTTCTTTAGCCACACACTAGTATTTATGGATTTCTTATCCTTGTCTCTTGTGTCTGGATGGCTGTGATGAGATACAAAGATAAAATAGAAAGACTAATTCTGAAATCAATGAATTAGAGATTTAAGACATTGATATTTCATTGCTTATCTCTGTAGAGATAAGGGATTAATATGCAAACAGTAAAATGTATTGTGCCATTTTGTTGTACCTGACAGGCCTCAGAATAACTCAAAAGTTTGGGTTTTGTCAGGATTAAGCGAGAGCATGTAGCAACCTGTACCTGAAGCCACCCAAATCCAGGTGGCTGAAGCATATGTTAGGTGTCACAGGTGAGAATTGGGCCTGGTTTAGATGTACTTTATTAATATCACCCAAGCCTGTAATACACTTAGCCCAAAGGTGGACCTGCATCACATTACACAATCCTTTTGCATTATCTGCTTCTTAGCCCAAGGGAAGGGCAATTGGCTGATGCTTTTCAGCAGATACTTCTTTTCCTATAGCACTGTCAGTAGCGAGTTTCCTTTTGCCAGTTGGCAAATGCTCTGAAGCATTTTGAATTGACATTTCAAATACATTTTTTTTTTGTGTAAGGTCTGCAGGAAAACACTGACGCAAGTGATTGATGACTTTCAAGAAATATATATTTTTTCTCCTCTATAGAGAACACATGAGATTTTCTGACTACCCCTGAGGCAGGAATATCACTGAAATGCACTGTATAGCTTTATTTATATAACCCACCTGATGCTGCCTGATGTATTTCAGAGGGATCCTTAAGGTTACAAGGTGCAAGAAGGTGGGAAGAACCTTCTTTGTCCTCCCACTAGGCATAATGGTGGGGTTTTTAATGTAAGTAATATTAGAGCAGAGTACATTACAGTAATTTCCAGGTTATATCACCTCAAGTAGAGCTTTGAACACAGTAGTTTGATCATTTTGATGTAAAAAAATTGCTATAAAGTGTATAATTTTTATAAAACCTCAGAAAGTTTGCTTGTTCAAACCTCCTCTTCAGCAAGGTGATTATTTATGGGTATCCAGGGACAAATCTCACACTTTTCAGAAAAAGCTATTATTCATTGCAGTGTAAGGAAGAAGTTCTTTACTGTGAGGGTGGTGAGGCACTGGAATGGGTTGCCCAGGGAAGCTGTGAATGCTCCATCCCTGGCGATGTTCAAGGCCAGGTTGGACAGAGCCTTGGGTGACATGGTTTAGTGTGAGGTGTCCCTGCCCACGGCAGGGGGGCTTGAACTGGATGATCTTGAGGTCCTTTCCAACCCAAACTATTCTGTGATTCTATGATTCATGAGCTGAACGTGGTCAGTCAGAGCAAGCCCCAGTCTTAAACTGCTTGGAAAGCACCCTTCATCAGATTAGCTTTAAGGGGACTTAAAAAGGAGCCTTAAAAGGAAGATGGTTAAGTGGATCTTCATCAATTTCTAAACTGATTTACTTGAATCAATGCAATTTTTAACTGCTGCCAAGCCACACTTCTTTAAAAGCTGTGGACACTTCCACAAAACAGATCTCAGCACTTCCCTTTTCCAGGGTTTAGGACTTGGTCCAACAAATCACTTAAGCTTGGGCTTAACTTTAAGTACATGAATACCTCATTAACATCAAGGAGACTACGTTTTAACTAAAGAATATGTGTAAAGTGCTTTGCTGGACTGTGGCCGCAGATACTACAATCATTGTTGCTACGGAAAAATATAAGCCAGACAAAATGTTTCCGCAAGAGGATAGTATGATCTGGAGAATGACTTGACAACAGAAAACTCTGAGAGCAGGAAAATGATTGACTGATTATTTTTCCAATTCATGAGAACCCATGGGAGCATCTAAATCAACTCCTCCTGAATGCTGCAGGGTGACTTCAGACCAGTGATTAGAGCCAAGTGAAATGTTTTGATTGCGAATAAATTAATTCAAAAGCACTGTTTTGGCTAAGTGGAAATCTTTTCCTGACCTATTTTGATTTTCTCTAATTTTCCATTTTCAAAGAAAAATCCCAAATGAAAATTTTTAAGTTTTATGGATGTTTTTAAGCTAATGTACATTTCCCTTTTTTTATCTGTGGGAAGAGAATACTTCTGAAATGAAAGTGTGGCCAAAAATCCAAAGAGAAGAACACGTCATTTTTAGCAGTATCCCACTAGGAAAAAAAATATTTTTTAAAATGTGGGGTTTATTTGAAAGATTTGTGTTTGGGTTTTTTTGTTTTCTTCTTTCTTCTGTTGGAAATAAAACAACTTTAAAAAATACTTTTCTGAATGTGACAAATTTTTGTCAGGGAAAAAAAAGAAATTGAGTGAAATGAAGGACAAATTGCCTCTGTTCTACATCTCACAAAATAAACTTTTTTATTCCCCACTAGCTCTCACAATTATCTAAAGCTATTGAACGGGGAATTCTCACCTTCAAAGAACTGCAAAGAGACAACAATTTGCAAATGAAGAGTTTCTTCCTGTCCCATATCGAAAGGGAGGGCTTTTTTTTCCACAGGTTCAAACAGTTTTCTGATCGGACTTTTTTCTTTCCAAAATCACAGAATAACCAATTCCTGTTATCAGGGTATTATTGTATTTTATGCTACAAAGACATACGAAAATAACACATAGGCTAACATCACTGCATGCATGTCTTTGGGAGATTCTTCCTTCAAGCACTGTCTCCCCACAAAGTCAATGAACCAAAGAGCGGTCTTATGCCACAGTGGTCCTGTTTAAAATAATATGTAACAATATTCCCCTTGCTTGCTTTGTGCTTATACTCAACGAAATCACTGCTCATGGTGACACCCTCATTTCCTATAGATAGAGCTCATCCTCACCCCAGTGGCCTCTGCTTAGTACCAAGTACCCCAGCACTATTCAATCAACCACGATTGTATCTTGTTGCCTGTAATTGAGTCATACCGGGTTTTAATGAGTTTAATCGATTTTGATTGTCTCAGGGGCTGCACTGACAGCTTTTTATCAGAGGCTTGGTTGTGTTGTAGAGTCAGGAGGCACATAAGGGGTTAATGAAAGGCCCAGAATTAATTCCTATGGAAGAAGCCAATGATGAGTAAAAGCAAACAGTTTATTTGACTTGAAACAGGTTATAAAGGGCAATAATTGTTTTAAATAGAAAGCTGTTGAATTATAATTGGAAGTAATTGAAACTTACCTGAAATATTGAATAAAACATTAGATATTTTAAATGGTGTTATCTTTACAATTACCATTGGAAATAATTGCAGCTGAAGCCCATGAGCTGTTGTGAGAGGAAGAGTCACCCAGGGCCCATTGTTTTCCTCAGTCATTATGCAAAGTATTTAATGATGAGGTATTTATAAATAAGTGGCAGTAGTTGTTTCTGATCTGGTGTTTCCTGAGAGAATGCCAGTTCTACTAAGGGTGAAAATGGAGGTAAGTAAGGAGCAAATTTCTGCTCTATTCACAACTATTGCTTTAGAAATTAGGCAAGAGGTACCTCCTTGGCAGTCTTCCTGCCTTGTTTATTGGATGTGGAGGGTTGAGGAAGTTTTCATGGCTGTGTCCTGTCATTCTGGAGTGGTTTTTTTCTGAATGTTTTTGGGCCACTTTGTACACATTGTCCTTTTCCAGCTACATTGAAAACAAGGAACACTTCTCAGCAAAAAATATAACGTTCCTTTGTCACAGCACTCATAGTTTGTCACATCAACATATGCATCTGATTTTGGTTTGGTGTCAAGAGTTGTAACTGTCTTAACTTACTTGCTTCAAATACAGTGTTTTCAGAGCAGAACTCATGGAAGACATATTACACTGCTGCTCAGCTCTGACCTGAACATCTGAACAGGTATGGCTATGTACTGTCTTCTCTGGAGGGGAAAGGTTTGAATAATCATTCTATAGTAGACTATGGCTTCATGATGTGTGACATTCTGCCAGTTATATATGCATGGTATAATTATATTCTAACCCATGTGAGATTATGTATGATTTATGTATGTTGTATACGTATAACCATTGGGCTTGATGAACTTTTGAGGCAGCAACCATGATAGGAGCAGTATTTCACCTACAGAAATATCTCCACAGATTTTAATTGGCCCATTCACAAAAATTAGTTTGCCAAGTTCTCCTAATTGCCACAGGCCAAATTTTCTGATACAAAGCAGTGAAGGAATTGAATTTTAATGATTTCAGTTACTTTTGGTCCCATGGAAATAAACCATTTTTCCCTCCCCTTAATATAGAATTGAATGTTAGATATTAGTCTGCTAATGTTACAGTTCCTATGGACTAAAGCGAGGAAAGAGGAGGAGAATCATTGAAACACCAGTTGGGGAAAATTGCTGAAATGGAGTGGCAGATGAAGAGGATCTGAATGATGGCTTTATCTGTAAGAAAAGAAAGAGAATGGTGAATGTAGAACATGTAGAGAGGAAAAAGCAGCTGAGATTCAAGAGAGTAATATAAGCTGTAGCAGTCTGCTAATATTGCTGAAGGATCTATTAACAACGGTATGATTTCTTCCCAGATGATCATCTGTTCTGTCTTAGTTTAGTATCTAACAAAGTCATATATTGGGCATCTGGCTTCTGTGTGCTTTTTCTCTTGAAGGACAAATTAGAAGAGGGATTTTGCTCTCTAGTACAGCTTACAAAACCTGTCATGTTTGACAAGGGCAGAGGGAGCAAGTGAGAGCCAGTAGAAGGGAAAAGGATTGATCCTGTGATACCCTGGGCCATGCCTGTGCTTCACTTCATAGTGTGAGGGGATCTGAGCAGACTGCAGGTGAAGGTTCAGTGTATCTGGACAACTCCAGGTGCTCTTTTAGCATGCAGTGACATGTCAGAGTTCCTGGATGTGTGCTTGAACCGTGTGCTCTCTGTAACACCCTAACATGCTATCTCCTGGGCAGTAAATACGGAGATGAGGGCAGCAGGTCCACTCTGTCACAAGCTTTTCTTCTGATGTGCGTGTGCCATTTTCACAGCTCTGTGTCTGCAGATGTATCTCTTCCCGCAATCCCACCCTGACTATTTAGCCTAGGGCAGTTGATCCTCTCGTTATTAGTAACAAACAGACTCATACAATGTGATGGCTTCTTTAAAAGAAGCAGTATAATTTCCTCATCATTTGAGCTCTTTCAGTGTGACAGAAAACTAACAGCAAGCAGGCAATGAGTTGACAAATTTCATTTGGATCTGCAGTGAAAGGTCTGACTTATTTTCTTTGGGAGACTGGGAGGCAAGCATTAGAATTTGATTCAAGGAGC